ATGCATCTATGCACAAGTCCTTGCAGCCCTGGCTGTAGGGCAACCTTTCTGTACCTGTTGACAAGTTTTTGCATGGCCCACACAGAGTTGCCTGTTGCCTGGGCACCCTCAGTCCTAAAGATGACCCTCAGTCATCTGTGACCATCAATGTTTTATATGCATACTAACTGTGCACAAAGGATCTACAGGTTCTGCTCCCCCTGCAAGTTTCTGTGCAGGCTGAATGATCTTAAAGGGGGCCTCAGCCCGTTGGACTCCTGCAGCAGGCCTGTGTTGCCAGTTGAGATCAACTGCTTCCCTTCTTGTAGTCTACCAAGTGGCCTGTCCCTGTATAGGAACTCCAGACTGGTGGTGGCCTGCCTGGCTAAATGCATAGTTTTGTTTTTGTTTTGTTTGCTATCTAACAGACTAGACTTGGCATGACTGAAGGGATCTGTATCTCCATTTTCTAGTTTGCATACTTGGATATTCTCCCCCAGCCTGAGGACCCATGTGATTTCCTTTTATTACCATGTATTACCTTAGTTAATTCTTATATTATACTCCAGAGTTAACCCACTGTGTGATTCTTTACTGATTGGACTTAGACTCTTAGAAAATGTGGGAATGAAGCAAAAAGAGTTTTTGAAATTTTGGAGAAAAGGGCTCATTTTTTTACAAAAATGGAATTTACACAAAATACAGATTAAGTAAACCCACTTGAACCTCAAAGAGAAAGGGAGAAAATGCAACACATTGTATGAATAGGAAGGAAAAAAATTTAAAGCAATTAGACAAAAACTAGTAAATCATCTAGAAAAAAAAATGAGAGGGACATTCACTTGTGGGGCACGTGGAGAGTACCACCAGAAGAATTATCATGGACCTGGTGAAATGGAACATGTTCAAACCCCAAATCTCAAAACTTGAGAACAGCAGGAGAGAACTAGCTTCCTCCCTGTTTCTGAGCCTGCCTTGGAGCACATACCCCAGAGAAGCCCAACCAGGAGGCCACAAGTAGTCATGTAGCAGAGTACTTGGCACTTCTCCCTTTGCAAATGAGACATCTCAGTAGCCTTCGCCTTCAGCTAGTGACCTTTTCCTTCCCTGCATATTCTCATGCTCTTCCCCAAAACTATATAACTCTTGGTTCACCCTAAGAAAAAGTGTAGGCGTTCAAACACCCACAATAAAAAATATGAACAAGCTAAGAGTGTCTCAGAGAGCTGCTTCATTAAGGGTGGTCAGAGCAGGCCTTCAACTAAAAGGGCTGGAACACTTAAGATCCTTGGAGAAGTCCCTCCCCCACCCCGGGACCAAACACACACAGGCATACGTGCTCCCAGCCGGACCTGGATTCTGCTTGTCCCAGACTCTGCTTCATCCTCCCAGGCCTGGTGTACAAGAGGCATTACATGCCCCAGAGGGAAGAGGTGGACTGTGGACCCCACCAGTTCTAGACTTCAACCTGTTCTCTCCAAACCAATGTTTCAGCCTCTGGACATCCTGAAAAGAGAGGCAGAACCTAAAACCACATTCACTTAAGAGCAAAAGCAAAAGATTTGGGGAAATAGTTAAGCAAGCAAAGGCACTGCAAGTACATAAATCCTAAATGAAGTAAAAATTTGTGTAATCAAAATGAACTGAGGGCTGAAGAGATGGCTCAGCAGTTAAAAAACACTGGTTGTTCTTCCAGAGGACACAGGTTCAATCCCCAGCACCCTCATGGTGGCTAGCAACCATCTATAACTTCAGTTTCAGGATATTCTGGTTTCCGAACACAGAGGATAATCCATGCATATGATACACAGACATACAGATGCAGGCAAAATACTGTGTGTGTGTGTGTGTGTGTGTGTGTGTGTGTGTGTAACACTTCAAAAAAGAACTCAAATGGCTGAGGGTGACATGCCTCTGCCCCTTACCAATAACAAATCTAGAATATAATAAATCTAGAAATATGAAATAACATAAAGAAGAGAAAGTGAGAAATTCAACACTGTGAAGCAATATTTTCTGAGATTAAAAAAAAAAGCAACTTACCAGCTGGGCAGTGGTGGTACCCACCTTTAATCCCATCACTTGGAAGGCAGAGGCAGGTGGATTTCTGAGTTCGAGGCCAGCCTGGTCTACAGAGTGAGTTCCAGGACAGCCAGGGCTATACAGAGAAACCCTGTCTCGGGGGGAAAAAAAAAAAAGAACCTTACCATGCAGCTCCATGCTCCATGCATGTCTAACATTTTTTTAAAATATTAGAACTAAACAAAAAAGTATGAATTGAGGAGAGGCATAGGATAGCAAATAAAGAGTTTTAAGGCCATTTGGGAGGGGGCAAAGATGATAAATTCTATAATCCAGTAAGGTAGAAAGTATGTTCAAATGCACTGTGTGGAAACTGGGAGTATTGTTGATGATAGACACCTATCAGATTTGTTTCAGGCTGTGTGTTAGATACGTAGAGGAGAAAATAGTAGTTCAGGGGCAGGTTTATACCTTCTTTGGGAATTCCAGTGAATGAGTATATGAAGTATGAACAACACGGCATATTTGTCTCCAAATCAAAACACCGTCTACGGAAAAGTCTGCCAATGAAAGCTAAGTGCATGGGTGAATGTCTAACAGAAGCAGGATATTCACATAGGCTCAAACTCTCACCCCATACTCAACATGTATTAAGTACAAAGCAGGAAACTGCAGCTTTTTCTGGGGAAGCCTGGCAGATACTACCTAAAACACATACACAAGGATACTATGAGTAACACACATCTCCACAGTGTTCTGTATTGAAGGGCATCTCCCCATTTGTCCTTTCCACTCACACAGATGCACACTCAATCTACTTATGTAAACCATAGACAACCCCAGCTGGAAGGACGTTCTGCAGAAGAACTCCCAGCATTCCTCAGTGCTGTTGAGTTATAAATGGAAATCTCACAGATGGGATGGAGACAGGAGCATGAGAACTAGATGGGATATAAATTCCGGATGGAATGCCCCCCCCCAACAATGTTGATGGAAAAACAAATATCGGAATGAAAATGATTTGCTAGTATTCTATCAGTATTAGTTTTTAGATTTGATTAAGTTCTTGGGCTATATAATCAGTGAAGTAGTAAATGAATCTGGCTGAATGACACGGAGGGATTCTTTGTATCAATTTTATGATGCTTCTATAAGTCCAAAAACACCTGAAAATAAAAGAAGATGTCTTTCATAGAGAGGGAGGGAAGGACAGCTAGGGGGGTGTTGTTTGTGAGTTCAAGTATACCTTTATTTTTATGCGTATGCAGAGACAGAGGACAATCTTTAAGAGCTGATTTTCCCATTCCACTGACACATGAGTTTCTTTACCCACTGAGCTATCTTCAGGCCTCTGAAAAACTTTTTTAACTTGAAAGGAGAAAAACAAAATCAAGAACATACAAGCTGCATAATACCCACATTCTTAGAAAAGAGAAATGGACAGAGGGAACATAGAGCATCTCGATGAAATCAGGAAGTCTTTCTCTCTGGGTTTGGAGGGATGGTTTTGCAAGGCACAGAACTGCCTTAGTATGTTTCCTATTCAGCACTTTAGACATTTCACTCCAGATCCCTTTGCCTGGCCCTCCAAGAAGTTGGCTATGAGCTGAAGATGGCTCTTCTGTAGTTCTCACAAGATTTTTTTCCTCCTGTTGGCTTAATGTAATGGTTTGTATATGCTCGGCCCAGGGAGTGGTACTGTTGGGAGATGTGGCCTTGTTGGAGTAGGTGTGGCCTTGTGGGTGTGGCTTTAATACCCTTGTCCTAGCTGCCTGGAAGCAGTCTTCCACTAGCAGCCTTCTGATGAAGCTGTAGAACTCAGAGCTCCTCCTACACCATGCCAGCCAGGGATGCTGCCATGCTCCTCCCTTGATGATAATGGGTATTTGAACCTCTGAATCTGTAAGCCAGAGCCAGTTAAATGTTGTCCTTATAAGAGTTGCCTTGGTCATGGTGTCTGTTCACAGCAGTAAAACCCTAACTAAGACAGGCTCTTATACAACCATGTGCTTATCTTGTCAGCAAGAAGCCAGAGGAAAAGCAAGCCAGTAAGTAACATCCCTCCATGGCCTCTGCATCAGCTCCTGCTTCCTGTCCTGTTTGAGTTCCTGTCCTGACTTCTTTTGGTGATGAACAGCCATGGGGAAGTATAAGCTGAATAAACCCTTTCCACCCCAACTTGCTTCTTGGTCATGATATTTTGTGTAGGAATATAAACCCTAAAATACTTCATTTACTCTTTGAGTACAGTTGGGTTACGGTATGCCTACATATATTTGCTTCTATCATTTATTTTGCTCAATGTCCTCTGAGTTTCATCTGTGATGGGATGCCTGACCTGGCTTTAGGTGAAATTCTCAGTCATTACTACCTCACATGTCGTTTGTCTTTTTTTTCCTACGGCATCACTACTTCCTGTCTCTTGGTGCTTCCATAGCTGCCTTTGCAGGCTCAGATATTCCAATTCTTTTCAGTTTCTTTGTCTGACTTTAATTTTTACTTTGGAAATTTTCTGTTGACGTTTTCAAGCTCAGGAGTTTCTCTCTTGGCCAATATACCTACTGAGTCAACTGCCCTAAAAGACAGCTCTTGTAGGTGGTGGTAGTGTGTGTGTGTGTGCTCGAGTGTGTGCATACGTGAACACACATATGTATTGTCATGTGTGTATCACAATGCACATATGGAGGTCGGAGGACAACCTTTGAGAGTTGGTTCTCACCATTTATCCTGTGGATCAGGGAATTAAATTCAGGTTGTCAGGCTTGGAGGCCAGCGTTCATACCCACTGAGTCATCTTGCTGGTCCATGACTGGATTTATAGTCACCTAGGAGACACAACCCTGCACAGCCTGAGAAGGTATTTCCCAAAAAAGTTTGAGAAAAAGATCATTCCAAATGCTGGTGCTGCCATTCCAAGGGCCTAACGTGCTGCACTGATTAATAATGATAATAATAATAATAATAATGGCAGAAGCCAGAAAGCACCAACACTGTTTGTTTTCTGTTTTAGAATTCTTTTTGTTTTGTTTAATTTTAAGTGTATGGGTGTTTTGCTCACAGGTCTGCCTTTCCATACTGTTCATATGACTGGTGTCTGAGGGGGGCATTGGTTGGATCCCCTGGAACAGAACATTCTCAGGCACTTTTGAGCCACCATTATGCGTGCTAGGAATTCAAGCCATGCATGTCCTCTGGAAGAACAGTCCGTGCTCCTAACTGCTGAACCATCTCTCCGACTCCGATCAGAGCTTTGTGGTGTAAGGTGTCCCAGGCACATGCTCCTGTCACGGTGGACTGTGCTGTCCCTTCTCCACAGTCAGCTGTATTCTCTTAAACCTGGGGTCTTCAAATTGCTCCTTGTCAGATATCTGGTCACAACACCAAGAAAAGTCATCATGCTCACTCCTGACATTCTGGATCAGAAACTGGACTTATTTCTTTTCTTTACATTAAAAAAATTATTTAAAAATGATTAAAATGTAAATTGTAATTATTCATTAATACAATGTATTTATTTTTATGTATATGGGCATTTTACCTGCATGTATGTCTGTGCATTGCATGTGTGCCTTGTGTGAGGAGGCCAGAAGAGGCTGTCAGATCCTTGGAACTGGAGCTACAGATGGTTGTGAGACACCACGTGGGTGAAATCTAACCCAGATCATCTGGAAGAGCAGGCAGTGCTCTTAGCCACTGACCAGTCTCTCCAGTCCTATTTCTTTAGCACATAGGTTTTATAGATGCAGTTTTACTGTTGCTTGCTTGCTTTGATGACATTGTGATAAAAACCCAGGGCCTCCCAAGAGTTAGAAGAGTAAGTATGTTAACATCAAGCCACATCCCTAGCACTCACTTCCCTTTTTGAGACAGAATCTTACTAACCTCCCCAGGCTAGCCTTGAACTCACAGCCAAAGTAGTCCTTGAATTGTGATCTTCCTCCAGCCCCCTCCCCTGTAGCTGAGATTTGAGGTATGGTCTCCCAATTTAGCTCAGGTTGTCCTGGAACTCATTATGTAGATCAGGCTGGCCTCGAACTCATAGAGATCCACTTGGCTCTGCCTCCAGATTGCTGGGACTAAAGGTATATGGCTGCCTGGCTTGCTTGGTTCTTTTTATTACTGATGTTGAGTTTTATTGCATTATGTTCTGAGAATGCTGTTTGCCACACAGTGTTGAGATAATGAACCTGATGAGATATAGAATTAATGAAGAGAGAAGCTGCTGGGTGTGTCTGAGAGAGAGGTTCTAGACTGGGTTAATTGAGATAGGAAGACCCACCAGAAAGATGGGTCTCACCACTCCATGGATGGGCTCCTGGAGGGCATGACAGGAGAAAGCTGCCTGAGCAGGAACATTTGTTTTTCTTTGTTTCCTGACTGTGACTACAGCGAGACCAGGAGCCTCCTGGTTCCTGTTACCATGCCCTCCCAATCTCTAGGAGATGTACCCTCAAACTGTGAGCACAAATGAACCCTTACTTCCTTAAATTGCTTTTACTGGGTATCACATCACAGCAATGAGGAAAGTGATTTAATATTCCCTTTCTTAATTCTCTGGAATCTGTTGGTATTTTCTCTGGAACTTGGTACAGTGTCCTTTTCCCCCCCCCAGTGTTGCATGTGGAGTAAAAGGTAGTCAGGCACACTGAAGTCTTTCTATTAGCTTATCACACCTCAAGCTCTGTGCCTCACTTCCTTGTCACCATTCTTCACCTTCACCCCTAGCTAATCCAACAACACCGATAATAATGGTATTAAAATCACAAAGTATCTTTTCTCAAACTTCTTTGATGTAACTAAGCTGCTGGGTTGGTTATGTTGTAGCAAGTATGTGCAGTAAGAGAGTTAAAGATAGGCAGCCTGAAGAATAGCCTATGATTTTGTAACCCATTGAAATTAAGTTCCTTGCCTTCTGCCTTCAGTTACACACATCTGTTGATGATATTTTTTTTTCTTAGACAAGGTTTCTTTGTAGTCCTGGCTGTCCTGGCCTGGTTATGCACACCAGGCTGGGCTCAAACTCACAGAGATCCACCTGCCTCTACCTCCCGAGTGCTGGGATTAAAGGACTGATCCATCACACCTGGCCTCTATTTCACTTACCCACTTCTCTTCAAGTATTAGTTTACTACCTTAGCTGTGATAAAATGCTGCCCAGAAGGAACTTAGGGAGGAAAGGGTTCATTTGATGTACATGTCCTCATGTACAGCCCAGCACTGAGGACAGTTAGAGCAAGAGCTCAGGGCAGGAACCAGGAGGCAGGAACGGAAGCAGATGTGATGAGAGACCACTGCTTCCTGGTTTGCCCTCCATAGCCTACTCAGCCTACTTTATTGTAAAACCCAGGCCCACCTTCCCAGGGCGGCCCAGTTCACAGTGATCCTGCCCTGGCCGCATTAATCATTAACTAAGAAAATGTCCACAGGCCTGCCTACGGGCCAATGAGTGGGGGCATTTTGTCAACCAAGGCTCTTCTTCCCAGATGACCCTGGCTTGTGAGTTGACAAAATAAATAAATAAATAAATAAATAAATACAAACAAACAAACAAACCACCTAGCTAACTTCAGGAATTTAAAAATTCAGTTCTATTTAAAATTTTAGTCTCCCAACAGTCCAGCGAGGAGAAGAGTTATTGTTTCTTTTTGTGTCCCCTTGCTTTCTGTAGCTGCCCTTGCTGCTGGGCCCCCCTTTTTTCCCCAGTTGGGTAACCATGCTTCAAGAGAAATGGAGATGTTCTTTGAGAGTTCCCTCAGAGTAACACAATTCTTAGAGCTTGCTGATGATTTTCAGTGTGTCCTGTGAATAACATCTCTGGTGGTCTTGGGCAGCATCCCAGTATCCTGGCTCAAGCCTTCTTACTTCCTGTGGGGTCCTCTAGGTTTACCACAGCATCCTTGACACATTGTGTCCTAGTGGTGAGCATAGATTCTACCACTTATATTCCTTGTGATATTTGAGAGTATAGGGACCATGGCAACTGTCAAGCTTCCCCAAGCACTATTTATTTCATCTGGTGTTTCTCTCTCTCTCTCTCTCTCTCTCTCTCTCTCTCTCTCTCTCTCTCTCTCTCTCTC